AGACGCAAAAAAGAAAGTGTCCGCCACCATACCTTACACTCCCCTACTTTACAGATTTTTGATTGACCATTTCATTCAGAAAATCATAAATCAAATTTCATGTTGACTAGTGTAATCAATGAAGGTCAAAATAAATTGTACTTCGTCGAGTACCCGATAAGGGGGTCAAATCGAATATTATACATTTGCTGTGATAATCAGCGAATCGTCTTTTTTTATGTTTATAACGGCGCCTTGTAAAAAAATGTAAGACTGAAAATAAACATATTTTGAAAAAAACAGATTAGATCGGTCGGATAGATGCCTCGCTTGGCGGACGTTTTAGAACCAAGGGTACTTGGTTCGCGCCCATTTGCCCTGGTATTTTTCCGGCACGTGAGATAATTTGAGCGTGAGGTTTGACGTCGAGATATAATGATGTGCACTGTCGATTATTGTCAGGTACACACCATTAGAACTCGACTGTCGATAAACCGGTTGTACTCAGGAGAGGTTTTCTACAGTTTCCCTCTCTACTGGCGAGAAAACCCATTAGACGGGTAGTCCAGGCAAATGCGAGTACTTCTAATTTCAAGCCGTTCTGTAGACGCAAAATTTAGTATTAAGTTTGTCAGTGAAAAATTTGTAAGAGTTTACGAAAAATGTAAAAATACTTGTATAGCCAAGTATGTAAGGCTGAAGACAGGTGTATAAACCAAATAAATAAAAATAAATAAAAATAAATAAAATAAATATATTTTTAATGTCAGATACACTGCCGTCCACGAGTATGAGGACGATTACACGCGACTCTATGAAAAAACAAGGCATCACTTTTTTAATCATATCTCAGAAATAAAAGGAGATACAAAAAAAATTAAATACGGTTAGAAAGCTTATTAAATTTTGCGTAAAATAAGCCGTCTTTGAAGTCATTTCGTTATCTAATTTTTGAGTTTTAGAGTTAAAAAAGAAATAAAAATAATTATCAAATTTTCTCATTTTTGTCTCTTGACTACCAACTTTTTCAAAAATCTAGAAAAATTTAAACAAATTTTTTTTTAAAAACACAGAAATCTTCGTTAGAATTTCAGCTTTAAAATAAGCCTTTGAAAATTATAAAATGTTATTCCGTCTACGATTTATCATTTCAAGTGTGAAGTCGTGTTGCGACCGATCGGTGCATTGAAATTCAACTGTGACGACTCGTTTCATTCGCGTGGCTGCGAATGGGAGAGAAAGCAGGGACGAATTTATGCTGGGAACGATGAACTTGTGAAACATCATTATTTATTATTCCCTAGCATAAATCCGTCCCTGTCTTCTCTCCCATTCGCAGCCACGCGAAGCTAGAATCGAGTCGTCATAGTTGAATTTCAATGCACCGATCGGTCGCAACACGGCTTCACACTTTTAATGATAAATCAAAGACGGGTTGTTTTAATTTTCGAAGGCTGATTTCAAAGATGAAATTCTAACGAAGATTTTTGTGTTTATAAAAAATGTTTATCTAAATTTTTCTAGATTTTTGAAAAAGTTGAAGTCAAAAGACAAAAATGAGAAAATTTGATAACTAATTTTTTTTATTTCTTTCTCACTCTACAAGTCAAAAAGTAGTTAACGAAATGACTTCAAGGACGGTATTTGACGCAAAATTTAATCAGCTTTCTAACCGTATTTAAGTTTTTTTTGTATCTCCTTTTATTTCCAAGATGTGATTCAAAAAGTTATTTTTTTAATAGAGTCGCGTGTAATCGTCCTGATACTCATGGTTGGTACCTATAGTGTATAAACAATCATAAACTTTTTTTTATCATTTCTTTCAATTTTAGGGTGTTATGGGGTGATGTGCAACGTTTTTTTTCGTTGGACGAAAAACATGTCAAATAATTAAATTTTTAAATATTTCAAAATTGAATAACTTAGAGGCATTATAATAAAATATTTCTGCATTATTAGATTTTCAGAATTTTAAATTTTTCCTACAAATTTTTCGCTTTTTCAAAAACGTCTGTTTTTGCATTTTCCAAAAAAGTTGGGGTGATGTGCAAAAAAATAATTTACTAAGGTATAGTTGACCTCTGAAAAGTGGAGATTTCATCAAAGAAAAAAAAATTTTTTGTTTAATTTTATATTCATTCATAACTGAATAAGGAATATAATTAAAGGAAAATAACTTAGGATTTTTTATTCTTCATGTGGATCGCAGTTATGGCACGTAAAGTATAAAAAAGAAAAAAGTGTTGCACATCACCCCAAATATGATATTTTGCGAAAAATGATTTATACGCAATACAATGCAATGGAAACACAAAATATAAACAGATATTTAAAAACACCTAAAGAAAATATATGATATTTTGCGAAAAATGATTTGTACTCAATACAATGCAATGGAAACACAAAATGTTAAAGTAGGATTTTAGAAATTTATTTAATTTATAAATGTTAATTTTTAAAAACTTCAACTAACATGTCCTTCGGACGAAAATCGTATAGGTAGTAGATTCTCTCTCTTCTTGGTTATTGGTTCAACCAAGGGGTGAGAATCCTACTCATTGAATTCGGAGAAGATAGGATACTTTGAAATTAAAAAAAACAGAATTAAGTTTAAGAACAATGATAATATATATATTTTACCCAAAAAGTCCCTATTACAAATTCGCTAACTTTTGTGTGTGTAGAAAGAATAGTTATATGTATGTGTGTGAATGAGGTGAAGAGTATATGTAATTTAATACAGGATGCTTTACTCACTACTTAGAAATTCTTTCCTAGAAATGTGAATCCAATGACGAATGTTTTATCTCTCTGTCTCGACACGGTTATTCCAGAAAATTGGGGAAATACCAAATCTAGGGTCACTAGATTGATATTTTCACTGAGAACTTTAATATTCCTTTAGGAATACACTAAACCTGAGACTTAAACCTCGTAAAGAAAGGTTGTCTTTACATATATTGGAATTAAAACAAATCCTTTATATTTGTTAGAATTATGTTTATCTTTCTGCTGACTCTAGATTTTTTACTTTACTTTAAATTATTTTATGCTTTTGTATGAATCACAACTTCTTTATATTTATTCTTTACTCTTTTATTTTATTATTTTCTTCAATTCTCTATTCTCAATATTTATTTCATAAATTCTCTTTATTTATTTTCTTTCACTTTATTTCAATATTTTATGTTTTTTTTACTTCATCAATTCTTTCAATTATGCACTTCAATTATTTTATTTTATTCAAACATATGTATTCAATTCAACCCTTTTTACTTCGATTTAATTGTATTTTTCTCAAATAAATTCACTTCTTCTTGAACAAACTTTTCTTAATTTAACTCTTTAAAACTTCTGAGAAATATTTCAACTTTGAACACGGCTAACTTGCCGGACTTCGAAAATGCCTGGCCCAAAACTGCCGGCTATAACTACAGGTGACTACGACCTGGACTAAACTGCGGGCCTAAACTGCCGGCTACAACGGCCTGGCTTAAACTGCCCAGATTTCCCAGTGTCAATCAATTTTATTGAAAGACGATTTAGTGGGGAAATCGTATGTTAAGTTTATTGCACTTGACTGTTGCCAAGCCAATTCTGCAAGCTTGCAGATTTAGGCAGTGGCGCGATCCGAGTTCAGTGACTTAGATGCACCACTCCTTATATTGAGCAATTTACTTTTTATATTTTCTAACTATTCCTCAAAAGGGTCAATAAACTGTTTGTCCAAGAAAAGGAATTTATTAAGAAATACCGTGTTTTATTCTTAGGTTTTTCACTTCAAATTGTGAATCTTAAAGGAATGTAAAATTCTATTAAATCTATTATTTATATAAAATTAGATTTTTATCCGATTAAAATACTTTAGATTTAAATATTCAAAAAGAAGAATGTCCCTTTTGTGAAATTACAAAGGGTTGTATTTTGTGTAAATGTTTTTGTGATGTTTAACAAAATCTCATGTTGCGTGTAATTGTTGCATGTAATTTTAGTTTAAATATAATTAAAAAAGGTATTAACAATATAAAAAGTTACGGAGTTCGGCCGTAACACAAAATATAAACAGATATTTAAAAACACCTAAAAAAAATATTTCCTGCTCGAGAAAATTTAGTCAACTTACGTACAGAAAACCTAGCTGCGAGCTGTCTCGTGAGTTATATATCAAAACAAGTTACTGAGGACACAAACAAATGGCAATACTTGGCTCTGTTCAATATCAAACTGTAGATCAGAAATCGGCGGTGTTGCACATCACACCATGTTTCACATCACCCCACAACACCCTATATAATAAGCAGCAATGTTGACAAAGAGCGTTGTGAACAATTTTTCTATACTCAGCTAGTACTTGTCGCCGAATCTTGTCTGAACTTTGAGAAAACAAAAATTCCGTACTGCACCAGCACTAATTGTCGAAGCTCGGCTGGACTACGGCCGAACAATCGGCTGAATACTAAGCCAGTGGTAAGCATCGGCACTACACTGGCATTTCCCATTGGTTACATGTATAATTACATACATTTCGAATCGAATTAATCCAAATTTCATTTATAATCCAGTCAGTTCGTTGAGATCACGTGACTTGTGCTACAAAATTTATTCCCATATATGAAACGCAAAGACCCACACACACCTGTAATGCATTATTTATTCTCAATAATTCTAGTCATGAGGTCTAGGAATTTTATTTTCATTTTGCACGCCGCCCTTTTGCAAAGTTATATATATATGAAGAGATTAATGTCAACGATACTCACATGGTCTATTCAACATGGTGTTCACGCGCTTTCAATTATAATACGTAACACCTTTAATTAATATTAGTTAAAATTATAATCCTTACAGTGGGTTAATTATAAAAACTTTCAGATTAATTTCTATTCAATGATAATAAATTACTCTTACCAAAACTATTATTTTCGGATTAAATTCATTATTATAGAATAATAATTATATACAGAAAGTTAAAATACATTTATACAATTTAATAACTCTCGCCTGTTTAGTAATAAGAGATTTCGCTCTATTTTTGTAAATAAGAAAGTCATTTATTATTATTTCTAATAGCTTTAGAAGTTTAATTACTATCACTAAATTGTGATTTTATAAATGTCTATAATCTCTTTAAACCGATGAAAATTGATTCTCATAGTTACAGGTTGAGACACGTGAAATGAGATTAAATTACACACGAATTTCTCACGTTCAGTTGTTCATTTCTTGATATTCGTCTTACTTTATTTTCAATCCGTTCTTCAATATTTTCAGTTTATGTTTCTTTTTCCTAAGTTTGTATTTTGACTGAAAAAAGTTTGTCCAATAATAATTAAACTCCTGTAATACATACAAAAACCTAAATTTTAAGTACATTTTCACAAATCTTGATTTACATATAGGTATTGTATTTTATATTTACTATTTATATGATTTTTGAAGTAAACGTTTAAAAATAAATTCGTTTATTTATCGGAGATTTTTTGACTATTTTATGTGTTTTTCAATTCCTACATTACCAGTCAAAATTGAGAGACCACCCATTTTCAGGCGAATGAAAAACGTTTTAAAACATAAAATGTATGGAAAATAAAATTTTTTTCAGTTTATATTTTAAAAGATGATAAAATTTTGAAAAGAACAAGATATTTCAGAAGTCGTTTGGCCAATATTTGATTTAGATATTTTTAAAACATAGTCATTTTCAATGTTGTACAAAAATTTGAATAACTTCTAAAATAATGAACGCATTTTAATGATCTTAGGCTTATTTTAAAGGTCATTTACTACACTATAAAAATTACTTATAGGCATTAACGGGTAATTTTTTTCTTAGAAAATGCAGGCCGTCAAACTTGGACCAAAAAAATTCAGAAAATTTGGAACAATCTTATTAACAGTCATATAATTTTGAAAGTTCAAACATATTTCTTGTATTATTATCTTGAAAAATCTATATACCATATTATGTTTTATATATTTTCTAGAATAGTTTTTAGTACAAAAAAATTGTTCCAAATTAAAAAAAAAATGTTGGTCCAACTTTGACGATGTGCATTTTCTAACAGAAAAATTAGACGTTAACGCCTGTAGGTAATTTTGATAGTTTAGCAAATGAGCTTTAAAATAAGCCTAAGATCATTAAAAAGCTTTTACTATTTTAGAAGTTATTCAAAGTTTTGTAAAACATTGAAAATGCTGATTTTTTAAAAATATCTAAATAAAATATTGGCCAAATGACTTCTAAAAGATCTTGTTCTTTTCAAAATTTTATTATCTTTTGAAAAATAAAAAGAAAAAAATTTTATTTTCTATACATTGTATGTTTTAAAATGTTTTTCAGTGACCTGAAAATGGGTGGTCTCTCAATTTTGACCAGTAGTGTACCTGTAAGTTTTTTTTACACAAAAATTTTTTTAATATATTTGCATCTTGACCTATGAGACTAATAACATTGGTAACAATTAAGGGGACAGTACACCCTAGAAAAAGAGAAAAATAGAAATTTTCTAAATGCAATTTTTGATATGAATAAAAAGAGATAGGTACCTAAATAAAACTTTGCACATATATTTTAATAATATAATATTTTACACAAATTTTTTTTCAAAATTTTCTGGCTGGTTTTTGTCCCCTGCAGGTTTTTGAATAAAAACGCGTGATTTTGGCTCACTGGAACGTCTGAAAAAAATAAAAATAAGTGTGTTTTAATCAGCATTGAAAGCAGTATAGAATAAACTAAAAGAAAAATTTATTGTCAAAAAATAAAATTTTAAATACAGAAATATAAATTATGATCCTAAGAAACATTTTACAGCAGAAAAAGAAAAATCAATTTTTTTGAAATTCTTATCCAGAATATATCACATGCAAAAAATCACTGTGAACCCTGGAAATAAATTGATTAATTATATATAGTTTTATAAATTATTATTTAATACAAATTATTTTTTTTGTTTTCATTTCTACTTATTTGGTAATAATTTTAATGTAAAATAATTTCTTTGCTTTTTGTTTCAGGTGAGTTAAACATATGCTTCATGTCGAGTTTACTTTGTAAGTAAATATAAATATAAACACACCTATATTAACAGAAAATATATGGTTTTTTAATTTTAGTTAAAGCAGCCACCGCATAAATACTTTTTTGAAAGGTCTTTCAAAGCACCTATTGATTTTTAATATTTTGTATCGAAAATTTTATAAGTTACTCATTTCACATTGAACTTTAAGATATAACAGCGTGCTGAAATACAAAGATTTATTTATTTTTTATTAAAGATCATACGTTTTTCCCCGTTTTAACCCATCCAGTTACATTAATACCCTTAATTACATCAAAATAGTAATTAAGGTTAAGAAACTTTCCATAGTTAAAAGTAGTAAGACGAAAAGAATTCAGTAATTTGTTTTTTATGTATTTTACTTAAAAACTTAAAAAATATTGGTACAAAAAATTTTTACTTTATAAAAATGTTTAAATCATTTTCTTCAGAAAGTTGTTGATGGAAATTTTGGTATATGTGACCGGGTCTGAGAAAAGGGACCTACTTACCAAAATCAACTTTTCGAGAAAAACGCGTTTAAAGTTTTCTATCCAAATAGATTAGATTTCTTGAAACATTTTACATTTTAAATTAATATATAATGAGTGTTCTTTATGTATTTTTTTATGTTGAATCCGATTTTCATGGTTAAATAATTGTTCAGACAACCCTGTAATTGTTATAAACAATTTACTTTGCAAAAGTCAAATTATGGAATGTTCAAAATTAATTTAAAAGACTTCCGGATGTCTTAGAGGTCTGAAATATTTTATGCAAGTTTAGAACTGATACAATAATCTAAATAATTCTGAAATCTACAATAATCCATAGTTATTTTTTGACTTGCACAACCAGGTTGCCGATGACGGGTATACTTGGGGATCATCTTCGAGGAATTAAGTCGAATTTTTTGTAAATGGTTTAGGCATTCAATTTAAGATTTAGGCGAAATATTCTTGACACTTAGACAACCAAGAGTAATTTTTGTCTTAAAATTACTTATATTTTCATAAAAAAAATTAAAAAAATTTTTTTTTTTAAATTTGTTTAAACAATTGCAAAAAAATTTTAACAACAATTGGGACTAATTGCATTATATTTCTAGGACCTTAAACTATAAGAAACCATCATAAAAAAATCGATTTTTTGGTAAGTATAGCTCCCTTTTCTCAGACCCGGTCACATATACCCAGGAGGAAAAGTCGGATCCCAAAATGCAACCGGCGCGGAACAGATTAGGCTCCGACTTTCGGATCCGCCTTTCTACTTTCGTCAGTACTGGCGCGGTACTGGATTTGTTCCGTCTGCGGATTTTGCGTTTCGCGTCTGCGTCACGCGTTTCTCACTTTTTTTTCGTATTGTAGAGGCAGCATAAAAAGTGTGCAAATGACTGCGTCTGCGTCGGTTGCTATAGCAACACATGCTAAAATCAGCGCAACGCAGTCATTCGCACACTTTTTAAAACCTATTGGAGAAAGGCCTCTACGGGCGTTGGAGGAATGACGGATGTTAGGTCTGTACTGCCGTACTGACGAAGAAAGTCACTATCTACATTTTTGACGAAAAATGAGTTTTTTATACCGTTGGATTCGTAATAAAAATTAAAATTTAACTGTGCAATCCATAATTAAAAATATTATTTAGTTTTGGAGATAATTAATGCTTAATTGGCCTATCTACATCGATTTTGGTGAAATACTGACGAAGAAAGTCACTATATCTACAAAACAGCAGTCCTATCTACAGAAATTTCAGTATTTCGAGCCTCAGTGGCCGAGAAAAACTGATTAAAAAGGCACATGTACATAGTACGTCAGTAAAGTGACTCGAGAAGACCGATCGATACTGATATACATATATATGTTACGGTTAATGTGCGAAGTTGGTGAATGTGCACATTGACCGGTGAATGTGCACATTACCCGAATTGGGCGTTAGTTGGATGGTGAATGTGAGAATAGCGAGACGCATGAAAACTCTCCAATTTTTATTTTCCGAATCTTTATTTTATCGAAATTCTTTTTATCTAATAAGAATAATTTATAATTTCTTTTAACATTCGGAGAACAAATGGGGTCTTTTTGACCCCACGCTTTTTTACGAAAAGCTTTTTATCTTTTTTAAATATTTTTAATAAGGAATTTCAAGTATACAGACTTATTCTACAGAGTTTAAACTATAATTAAAAAAAATTTTTAGCTTGATTAGATGATCAGTTTAAAATTGTTTGAGCTTTGAAAAATAGTCAAAAAAAGAGGTGTGTTCTCCGAGGGTTAATCGAAAGAATAATTGTCAAAAACATTATTTTTTGAATGACTAATTAACAAAATGTTTAATACTGCGAAAGAAAATTTTTTAAAATCTTCAAATAACTGAATTGTTCCTAATAATATTTTTTTAATATGTGTAAATGTTCCAAATTCTAAAGTCTCTAAATTTTATTTTATCGAAATATCATTTGCTATAAAACTTTTTTCTTATAAATGTTTTTCAAAATCATTTTAACTTTTTCAAATTAACATTACTCATAATTTTCATTACTCCTAATCATTCTTCTTTATAATTACTACATTTTCTAACTTGTATTTCTTCTAACTATAACTTTACCGAATTGTCACTTCTCATAATTATTATTATATCGAAATAGTATTTTTCAAAATTTTTGTAATATCTAATAACTTTTTATACAAATTTTTTTATTGTATAATAACCAGTTTTTATAATTTTATTTTATTCGAATAATTATTTCGTATAATTTTTTTCTTACCGAAATTATATTTTAAATAATTTTTTTTAATCGATTTTTTATTTTTCCTAATATTCATTTTTCCAAATAATTCTTTTTTATAATTTTTATATTTCCTAATTCGTATTTTACATAACATCCATTTTTTTAACATTTAAATTCTCTAATTTATTATTTTCCTAACCTATAAATGTCATAATAAGAATTGCACCGAATAGTTATTTCACCTACAGAATATCCGGTTTCGACGTTTCCCATCTCTGAAGAATATGGCGCCAAATTTGAAAAAAGTTTATTATTTTATTATTTAAAAATTATTAATTATTACAAATATTGTTTAAAACAATTTCCCTAATGATATTTAGCGTAGCTAATTGGTTTAAACCATGAACAATATTTGTAATAATTAATAATTTTTAAATAATAAAATAATAAACTTTTTTCAAATTTGGCGCCATATTCTTCAGAGATGGGAAACGTCGAAACCGGATATTCTGTAGGTGAAATAACTATTCGGTGCAATTCTTATTATGACATTTATAGGTTAGGAAAATAATAAATTAGAGAATTTAAATGTTAAAAAAATGGATGTTATGTAAAATACGAATTAGGAAATATAAAAATTATGAAAAAGAATTATTTGGAAAAATGAATATTAGGAAAAATAAAAAATCGATTAAAAAAAATTATTTAAAATATAATTTCGGTGAGAAAAAAATTATACGAAATAATTATTCGAATAAAATAAAATAATTTGTATTAAAAGTTATTAGATATTACAAAAATTTTGAAAAATACTATTTCGATATAATAATAATTATGAGAAGTGACAATTCGGTAAAGTTATAGTTAGAAGAAATACAAGTTCCCGTGTGGAAATTTTCTAATGGCCCTTTATTGGTTCTACCTAGATTTCCCCTTTATTAACTTGGTCCTAGCTTGTTTATCCTTGTAGGCCCTATAGGTTAAAACGTCACGCTCTTCTAGCCTGGTTCTACCTAGAGAATCTAGTTAGGCCCAATAAAAGGAACAGTTTAATTAACTATTTAAAAAAATTATTTATTCTTATTTATTATTATTGAGATTCATTATTTTATCTTTTTTTACCTACTTTTGTTATCATGTAATTTATAATACTTAATTCCTATATATACTAACAGAGAAAAAATCCTCACACGTTGGGAGTTGAACGCACGACCCTAACATTCGTAAACCGATAACCTAACCACTTAACCACGCTCGCTCGGTACGATGCGTTGCATGATACTTCAGGTTATTCTTATGTCATCATAAGTCATATGAACTATTCCATTATAAATTCCTCAAAATAATAAAACTGAAGTCAGTAACATTTTTGTTGACGCAAAATGAGAAAAGAATTTTTTTAAAGATCAAGATGCAAATAATGTCTGATAAATAGTATATTAAGCAACAAGAGGAGAAAGGCAGCCATTTCTTTACGGTGATTTTTGTGACACGAGTGGAGGTCGAGGGCGCCCTCGACCTCCACTCGTGTCACAGAAATCATCGTAAAGAAATTGGCTGCCTTTATTCTCGTGTTACTTACGATATTTTTTATTCCTAATGCACAAAAGCGGCGATTTCAGATAGCAGACGACAGGGAGTAAAAGTCATTCACTTGTTCGATTTGTTTGAAAATGGCGGCCGATTTCTCCCTTGGGCAAGAAAAATGCATGTGAACAGCTAATTTTCTTGCCCTTGGGAGAACACGGCCGCCATTTTCATACGGTCGAAGAAATGAATGACTTTCCTCCCTGTCGGCTGCTATCAGAAAGCGCCGTTTTTGTGCATGTGGGATAAAAAAGAACTTAATTGTTCTTTTCATTACATCCTGCATAGATTTTTAATCCAATCGGGGAGGGAAAGTC